ACTTGTTGTATCCAACCATACCTAAAACAAACAGGGTTGGATACATCAAGGGGTAGGATGGATCAACCCCACAAAGCTTATGATATATAAATCGCGTGAATTTATTCTGAATGCGCTCCAGCATAAGATTGTATCTATTTTCATGTGGAGCCCATATTGCTGAGTTACACTCCAGCTGACTCCTTACTAGAGCATCATACAGCACTGAGATTGCTTTAATGTTGGTAAATTTTACTGCTCTGCGAATGATAAACCCTAGTCGTTTATAAGCTTTCTTACATATATTCATGATGTGCTCCCGGAATGTCAATTTGACATCCATCTGGACTCCAAGATCCCTGACTGATTCCTCCCTCTTCATTAGCTCGCCATTCACCTTATAGTTGTAATGGAGTTGTGCCCTTGCACGACTAAATGATAGAATAGAGCATTTTGAAATATTAAACTGCAGTTTATTTTTATGGCTCCATTCAACTACTTGGTCGATATCTTGCTGAAGGTGCCGACAATCATCCTCACTCTTGATGGCTAAAAGCAACTTTAGGTCATCTGCAAATAACAGACATTTAGCCTCTCTTACTACTTCGGGTAGATCATTAATCATTATGTTGAACTCTAACGGCCCTAAATTACTACCTTGACTCACACCAGACCTAGTAAAATAAGGCTCCGACCGGTACCCGCCATACTCCACATACTGTTTTCTATCTCTCATGTAACTTGCAAAAAAATGAAGCAGTTTAGGTGTGCAGCCAGCTTTCGCCATCTTTGACAGTAGGATATCGTTATCTACCAAGTCGAACGCCTTCCTAAAATCAAAGTAGGCGGCATCTACCTGCAACCCTGCATCAACATGAGGAACCAAATACGTCATGGCATTTAAGAGGTTACTAGTTGTGCTCCTCTCTAGCCGGAAGCCGCACCGCCCGCCAACACCGCCTCGTCTACGTTCAAACGCGCTGGCTCGCTGTTGTACACTGAATAGAAGTATTTGGCAAATTCAGTCGCACTTTCTTGATCTGACAATGTTACTCCATCTTTCAATATTTGTTTACGTTTAACGGTCCCTTTTTTGCCCTAATATGATCCCAAAAAGACTTAGGATCTTTTGTCAAGTTACTTTACACACGATTTTGATAGTTTAGGTATGCGCTATCAATAGTTTTCTTAATTCGCGCCCTGCAAGCAGAAAAAGCTTTGTAATGAGCACGAGATCCGGTCGATTTATACAACTTGTGAAGTTTAGTAGATCAAAGACGCTACCACTCGGGGTAGTGTCTTTGTTCTACTTTATTTTCCCGCTTTTTCGGTACACATTTATCTAAAACACCGCAAAAACATTATAAAAAACTCTAAAGCTTCCTCTGGTTCCTGTGTCTTGTTAATCAAACTCCAATCGGCGCAAGCTAAATAAGAATAAAATAAGTAAAAATCAGCTTTATAAAAATTCCATTGCGATTTAATTTGGTTTGCTGATGTCTCACGGTTTAAAGCAACGGGCTCGGCCCCCACGGGTAGCAACGTCACACCGCCAGCGCTGAGCTCCAGGGTCACCGCGAGCGGTGGATGATACGTGTCCACCGGCACTAATAGTTCGTCAGCTTCGCATACTTGTACGCCATCACTTAATCCTAACGAACACAACACTAAATCTAGTTGACTCCGATTACAATTAAGGACTTTATTCATCTGAGCCAATTCGCAAAAGGACACAAAATATTCAAAATAATTTTTAATATTTTCATTACTTGAATTTAAGTTAAAATCACCTATCAAAATAATATGTCTATATTTAACACACAATTGTTCTATTATCTTAAAAAACATCATGTAAACATCTTCCTTAGTCTTAGGCGGGATGTAAACAACGCAACATAAAAATAAACATTTATCTTTAGCGTGTACTGTCGCACAAACCAGTTCAAATGAGCAGTTATCTATGTTTACGTCACCCGGTGTATTCACTCGTTGCAGCTGTAACCCGTGTGTGCCCACGAGAAACGCGCCGCCTAGCTTACGGCCGTCCGCTCGATCACACCTTATTATATCATAACCTGGTGGCACAATCTCCGCATCCATTATAGATCGTTGCATCCTGTTTCCGTAATAGCAATTATATCGGCATTCAATGATTCAATATTGTTACTAAACCAGTTTAATTTTGTACGAAGACCCCTGACGTTTTGATAGTAAAATTCAAAACTATTATTTTTCTTTAATTGGTTTATTTGTAGCTTTTCGAAACCAAATCCACTCGCAAAATTCCGCATTGATGGGCCAGACTTCCGGTTGACACAACTTATCATACATTGACTCTGACACCGTTATGATAAAAGAAGCGTAATCCCTCTCCGTCTTATGCTTAATTTTCTCAATGTTAACATTAGCATCTGGACCACATACTCCTTTGACATGTGATCTTAATTTTATCACTCGTGGTTTCGTGAAGTAAAGGTGCCGCTTTTTTCTGTAGCCTGTATATCTACTAAAACCGTATTATTTCCTTTCTTCACATTTTTTGATTGGTAACTCCCCCTTTTTTTACGAACTGTAGTCCACTCACAATCTTTATTCATTTTTTCTTCTTCCTCACTAATATTAATATTTAACTCTTTCCTTGGAATCACACACTGTGGCTGATTAATTGGTTGAGTTTGGACAACGGACCCTCTCCCGGTTGCTATTTTCATGGCCGCAGGCGTTTTTATTACGCAGGGAGTAACGTTTGTTTTGTTTACGTTATTTTGGCTTATACGAGCCACATCAGCGAATGTAGTTGGGACATCGATTTGCTTAGACATTTCGAGGCCGTATTGAAACTTTCCGTTATACTATCAATACTTTCAAACTGTTGATTTTGAGTTGATAACAGATCCGTTGGGAACAATTTATTTTGAAATACTTTCATTTTAATCTTAAGTTCTTCTAATTCCGTTTTTGTAGAAAAACATATTTCTTGAAGATGTTTAATAATGTTAGTTTGCACGTCTAATCGGCTTAAGACTTCATATTTTAACTGTCTAAACTCAGATAGCAATTTATCATCACTATTATTATCACACTCGACAATTGATTCATCCATTAATTGCATGCGGCTTCCCCGTTGAGTGTTGACATTAGCACTGGGCGTGAATGTTTTCAGCTCCGGGGTGTCCCTGATAGGTGTATTCGGGTCATAGCGTTTAGGTTTAGAACAAGCGCACTCCGGACAGACCCATTGCTTCGTGTGCTTATCCGAGAAGGAACTGAATTTATTTTCTGTCAGTCCTAGGCATTTTAAATCATAAACTTTCTCGCACTGTTTTTTGGAGCACTTTATGTAACAACCATCAGGTACTTGGACACCACAAGCCCAACAATCTACAGACATTATAACTGTTTTTAAAGTAAATAATTATACACAAGTGCAACAAACACGTCCGTTCTGTTTTATCCTATCTTTTTATCTTGTTGATTTTGAGAAGAATCACGTCCGTCCTTAATGGTAGTGCAGGAGAAGGAAATATATATTAAGAAATATATATTAAGAAATATATAACAAAATAGTTATTTTAAATAAAATATTTCGCCAAAATACAGTTGTCACCTGTCACCTTTTTTATATGGGTACAATTCTTTATGCATTCACAAACTTGATCTTGTAACTGCAACTACCTCAGTGCATAGTAGTGCTGCACCTTTCCCAAGGAATGTAATTTTCTTGCAGTTTTGAATGAAACTTATTTTATATTCCCAATGTTTGGAGTACTGTATAGCACTTATGTTTCTTGTAGCTGTTTTGACGTTGAACTCAATGATCTGTCCAAAGTTCAAATTCGAGGAAATCTTAATCACTGTTCAACTCTTCTTCCTTTTACTCGGGATATAGAAATTAGTCTAGGGTGTTTAAGTTTTTGTCCGGCATCGGTAATTGATGGCAGCCCTATACATAGTGAATGTAAGTTATTCCATGCGTGTCACACGCACGATATCGAGGAAGCGAGAGCGAGGCGTGGGTGCTGTGAGGCGCGTGTGGCGTGCGCAGACGCGGGCGAGGAGCGGCGCGTGTCGGTGGCGGCGGGCGCGCCGCTGGCCGTGGAGTGCCGGCTGCGGCCCGAGCAGCGCGCCGTGTGGCGGCTGGATGGCGGCACGCCGCCCACCGACCTTCGCGCCGATCCCGAGGCGCCGGCGGCTGACGGGCGGCTTACCGTGCGCCTGCGCGCCGCCGCCGCGCGCCCGCAGCACGCCGGCCTGTACACGTGCAGCGCAGACGGCGCGCGCGGCCCGCGCGTACGTGTGGCCGTGCTGCCAGCGCGCGCGTCCGCCGCGCCCCCCGCGCTCGCCGCGTCGCCGCCCACTGCCGGTACAGAGCCCGACGCCGCTCTCTTGCTGCTCGCTTCATGACGCCGTAGTTAGACTGTACAAATCGTTTCGTTCCGTAGTTAGTTTAGTGTAGCCGCTTCGTTGGCCACAGTAGGGTTTATGTTAATATTTATTTATTCTTTATTGTACACCAAAATACAATAAAAAACAATATAATACATATTAAAGTACACGCACAGCAGGTGGATTTATCTTTTGACCTTTTGAGTAAAGGACTGATGCAAACAATGGATAAAATAAAGGAGAGTGTTACAAAAAATTGTGAATACAATAAATACATACATACATATTATACATACAAATATTACGTTTATGTTGTCGTCACGTCGCCCGTAGACTAGCGCTTCACGCCTCGACTCGTCCCGCCCAGGTCCGTGGAGGTGGTGCCGTCGGCGACACACCCGAAGCGGTCGCGTGCGCAATTAACCGCTACTTATTTTCTGGCAATGTTATTAACTCGATTTGTGATATCTAATCGTAACTCGTTAACAAGACGTGACGCCGCCGGAATGTCGTCTGTGTGGCACCATCGACTAAGAATCCATTTGAATCATACATTTACAAAAAATAAGATCGCTTAGTTCGATGGTTGTAAGTTGTATGCGAGTGAAGTGCGCCAACTAATGAGCCTGTTACAGACGAGGAGGCGGATCAGCCAGAGCTGCTGTACGACGTGCGCGCCAACTTTACGCTGCGCTGCGAGCTGCCCAATGATAACAGTTTGGCCTACGTATGGTACGTAGCCCCAACCATATTAAGATTCGAATAATCTCCTTAAAATTTTATTGAACAGTACATTCAACATACATATTAATTATGAAGTAAGTAAGCACGTCATCTAATACTATGGATTAAGTAAAAATCGACTAAAGGAAATGCTAGTAAATTCTTGTAAGTCAGTGACAGATGCATTATAATTTAACCAGATCTAAAAAATAAATCAATTAATATGGCAATTGTTTTATGAAGGCACCGGATATTTTATCCCAGCCAACGGCCCACCTACTTCTAAGATTATTTATTACGGCTTTTTTTCGAGCTATACTTTTACTTAATAAAAAGTATAGCTCGAAGAACCGACAACCGATACGGAAAAAAGTTATCGAGTGGCAGCCTCGTACCGGTAGGCAAAGTGTTGGGCGACCCCCACTAGATGGAGTGAGGACCTGGTAAGACATGCAGGAAGTCGATGGATGCAGGTGGCACAGGACCGTGCTTTGTTGCATTCCTTGGGGGTGGCCTATTTTCAGCAGTAGATTTATGAAGGTCTGTAATGATGAATGAAAAGTATTTTATATATAATTTTTATTTCTACCAATCCTAATAATCCAATAAATTAGAGTGTCATATCAAAAATTAATAAATTTTATTTATTGAGAATTACTATTAAGCAAGCCGTGTAGTGGCGGTTGAGAATATCCACTACCCCATATCTTCCCGTGGGTGTCGTAAGAGGCGACAGAGGGAGACAGGCAGGAGATGGGCAGCAGCATCTTCCTGATAACAACAATAACATAATAAAAAACTGCGGTTTCCAACCCGCTCGCCAAGCGTGGCAACTATGGCAAATATCCCCCCATGAGCAACGACACAAATAAACGGCCCCAGTCCCCGGCGGCCCCACTATTCCTGGCTACGGTGGCGACCATGGTAACAGCGGGGCAGGGGGTGCTAAGAATCTCCGGTGGAGGTTCGGTTGCCACCTACGACGACTCGACCTGGCAACGTATAACGCACGCACCCTGAGGACTGACGAGAAGATACTGGAGCTGGAAGAAGAAGTAGACAAGTTGCGCTGGCATATTATTGGATTATCTGAGGTCCGAAGACAGGGGGAGAACACGGTAATCCTCGAGTCCGGCAACTTGTTCTATCACCGGGAGTGCGACCATCTGTCCCAAGGTGGTGTCGGATTTATCGTCCACAAGTCTCTTGTCAACAACGTTTTAAAGATTGGGAGTGTGTCGACGAGGGTCGCGTACCTGACACTCAGAATCACCAAACGGTATTCGCTGAAGGTCATACAGGTCTACGCACCAACCTCGGCACATCCCGATGAGGAGGTGAAGGAAATGTATGAGGATATTTCTAGAGCTATGCATTCCTCCAAAACCCACTACACGGTGTTGATGGGAGACTTCAACGTAAAACTAGGCACAAGAGAAGGCGGTGAGCTGAAGTTAGGGAAATTTGGAGTAGGGCAACGGAACCGTAGGGGCCAGCAGCTGGCTGACTTTATGGAGAAAGAGGGACTCTTTATGATGAACTCTTTCTTCCAGAAGCGGCCCCACAGGAAGTGGACCTGGTCGAGCCCCGACGGTTCGACAAAAAATGAGATTGACTTCATTATGACGACCAGACGCCAACTGTTCAGTGATGTCTCAGTGATCGCAAGGGTGAAAACCGGCAGCGATCACCGAATGGTTAGAGGCACACTGAACCTAAACGTTAAGTTGGAGAGGTCTCGTCTGATGAAGTCAACGCTCCGTCCCCCTCGTGCTCTAATCCAGAATCCCCAGACTTTTCAGCTCGAGTTACGTAACCGCTTTCAGTGCCTAGAAGATTGCAATGCAGTGGACGATATGAATGACAACCTCGTGGACACTGTCCATGCGGTCGGAGCTAAGTTCTGCAAGACCCGCTGCAGAAGAACACAAAAACTCTCCGATCACACTCTTAATCTCATGGCTGTTAGACGGGAGATGAGGCTGCAATCGTCAACAGATTTGACAGCATACAGGCAACTGAACAGACAGATCTCCAAATGCATGCGGCAAGACTTACGCAACTTTAATACTGCTCGTATTAAAGAAGCGATCGAGCGGAACCAGGACTCCAAAGTCTTTGCCAGATATCTGTCTGCCAGAAAGAGCCAACTGTCAAAGCTGAAGACTGAGTGTGGCAGCATCGTTTCCGGGACACCTGAGATTCTGAGTGAGATTGAGAGGTTCTATGGGCAGCTGTACACATCATCGTTGGAGCCACACGCAAGTGTGAGTAACGATACAAGAGCAAGTCTTACCCGACACTATTCCGATGATATCCCGGACGTCAGTCTGTGTGAGATTAGAATGGCTCTCCAGCATCTTAAAAACGGCAGGGCCCCAGGCGAGGTTGGAATTACAGCGGAGCTTCTGAAAGCGGGTGGAACACCGGTACATGAAGTCCTTCAGAAGCTCTTCAATTCCGTCCTCCATGGTGGCACTACTCCGGAGGCGTGAAGCAGAAGTGCGGTGGTCTTGTTCTTTAAGAAAGGCGACAACGCTCTCTTGAAGAACTACAGACCGATTTCCCTTCTGAGCCGCGTCTACGTGCTGTTTTCGAGAGTCATTACGAATCGTCTCGCACGCAGACTCGACGACTTCCAGCCTCCCCAACAAGCCGGTTTCCGAAAAGGCTTCAGTACCATAGACCATATACATACCCTGCGGCAGATTGTACAGAAGACCGAAGAGTACAATCTGCCACTTTGCCTGGCGTATGTGGACTATGAGAAAGCCTTTGATTCCGTCGAAATTTGGGTGGTGCTACAATCCCTTCAGCGGTGCCAAGTTGACTGTCGGCATATCGAGGTGTTGAAGTGTTTGTACAGTAGGGCTACTTCGGCTATCCGAGTACAGAACCAGAGTTCGAAACCTATCCAACTGCAGAGAGGTGTAAGACAGGGTGACGTTATATCCCCGAAACTCTTCACCGCTGCGTTGGAAGACGTTTTCAAGCTACTGGACTGGAAAGGATATGGTATTAACATCAATGGATGGAAGTCGATTTGCCGACGATATAGTCCTTATGGCAGAATCGCTGGAGGACCTTAGCACTATGCTCAATGACCTCAATGGTGTCTCCCAACGGATAGGTCTTAAGATGAACATGGACAAAACAAAGATTATGTTCAATGTCCATGTCACACCTATGCCGGTAGTTGTGGGGAGCACCATGCTCGAAGTTGTTGACGAGTACGTTTACCTGAGACAAATAGTCCGACTAGGTAAGTCCAACTTCGACCGAGAGGTCAATCGACGGATTCAACTCGGCTGGGCAGCGTTCGGGAAATTACGACACATCTTCTCGTCAGGTATACCTCAATCTCTGAAAACTAAAGTGTACAACCAGTGCGTGTTGCCAGTGATGACTTACGGATCAGAGACGTGGTCCTTCACTGCTGGCCGTATGAGGACGCTCAAGATCGCTCAGCGAGCTATGGAGATGGCTATGCTCGGAGTTTCTCTGCGTGATAGACTCAGAAATGAGGATATCCGCAGTAAAACCAGAGTGACCGACATAGCCCAACGGATTAGTAAGCTGAAGTGGCAATAGGCCGGCCATATAGCTTGAAGAACCGATAACCGATGGGGAAGAAAGGTTCTCGAGTGGCAGCCTCGTACCGGTAGGCGTAGTGTAGGGCGACCCCCTACTAGATGGAGTGACGACCTGGTAAGACATGCAGGAAGTCGATGGATGCAGGGCGCTCAGGACCGTGCTTTGTGGCATTACTTGGGGGAGGCCTATGTTCAGCAGTGGACTTATGAAGGGCTGTAATGATGATGATAATGATGAATATGGCAATTTATGAGCTACTCAATATAGTTATGAAAAATATGGATGATAAAAAAAGTATGTGAAGTTTATACTGCCATATCAAAAGCATCCGATTATTATGTTAATCATAAGAAAATACTTATAAACTTAATGTGTATGGTATAAGAATATACTTCTGAGTTTAATAACATCCTATTTTGATGACCGAAGTTAGTGTGTTGAGATATATAGTTTTTGTCCTAGAATTAAAGAAAAGCTACACTTGTCAAATCATAAAATATATAAGTTCGGTGTACCTCAAGGTAGCGTCCTGGGGCCATTACTTTTTTGTTTATATCTATGACTTACCAAAATTCGTACGGCAACTTATTGTTCTATTTGCTGATGAGAGTATCGCAATACTAAAATGTATATTATATATAATACTAAAATTATGAACTTTTATTATTAATATTAACTATAATGGACAAAACCTTGAATAAGTATATACTACTAAATTTCTTGGCATTACAATATCTTAGACTACTAATACTTTACTATACGTAGTACTATACTACCATATTTAAATAAAGATCATCCTGATTTAATAAAGCAATGTACTTTACTATGTTGCATTAAATAAGGAAACACACACCAGATTCGAAAATACATAGTCTAAGATAATGTATTATCAAACAATTTAGTAGTTTTTCAATATATGTACTACCAAATATGTATGAATACCTATATTTAAATCTGGTAGTATATATGACCTAGCAAAATTTAGACTTATTTCTGTTCTGCCAACACTTACTAAAATTTTTGAAAAAAATATTATTTATCAAATGTTAAGGTCCAGGTTTCACAAGGGGTCGCTCGATATCTGATGCTGGTCGAGCTGATTACATATTTTCAATGCACAGAATTTACACCTTCGATTGTGTTCACCATGATACATTAATCAAACCACTGAGGTGTAAGAAGTGATGCTCTTAAATTTGTTATTTTATATGTAAGTAAAAAGTTGTCATCAACGGTGAGAGTTGTTCCTGGTCAATAGTACAAATGAGCGTCCCTCAGGGCTCAATTCGCAGCCCCTTGCTATTTCTTGTCTATATTAATTATTAATGACTCACCTTGCACAGTAGGGCACGATCATGAATCATGATATAGTATTACTTGCTGATGATACTTCATTAAGTTACATACACAATTAAAATACATACAAATACAATTAAAACGATAACATTAAATTAGGACGATGCAATTAATGCTATATCAAAATTATTAAATTGGTTTAACGTTCATAATTTGTATATAAATGCCACTAAAACCAGTGGCGAAGCTAGTATCGCAGTACTGGAAATGTGACAGAACGGCAGACGGGTAGATATCGTGTTACTTTGCAGAGACAGGATCGATTCTACCAGATGACCGCCAGAAGACAACCCAATATTACAGCGATGCAACTACTACAAGGGCTCCAGCGGAGTCACTAGATGCTGGTAAGCGACCAAACCGTGTGGAGGAGGCTGCATGAAGTTGGTCTTCATGCTCAAACACCGCTACGTGTTCCCGAATTGCGATGTGGCAATCGCGGTCAGCGGTTTTCGTGGGCTCGGGAGCATTTACCATAGAGTGACGAACAATGGTCTTTGGTGTTGTTCACCGATGAGTCCTGATTTGGGTTTCATCAGGATTCATGAAGAAAACGCGTTTGGAGAACTCCAGGGAAAGGAAGCCGTTTACGGCACCCTCAGGAGGGTCCACTCATACCAAGGCAGGACAATCTTGGTGTGGGCAAGAATTCGTCTTGTCGGACGAACCCAGCTCGTTTAGATCCGAGGCAGCGTGACTGCACAAAAATACCACGAGGAGGCAGTAGAGTCTGTTATTGTTCCACACAGAATCCATATAGGCCAGGAATTTCCACTCATGCACGATAATGCTCCTTTCCATACGGCGCAGCTGGTGACGCTGCGAGACCACGATGTTCAAGTTTTGGATTGGCCTGCACAATCGCCTGACTTAAATCCCATCATGCATGCCTGGGACATGTTATATAATGTAAAGTTTTGAGAGATTTCCCGCAAAATTTTATAACGAAACCACAACTTTACGAACATTTGCAAAGAACATGGGACCTCATACCGCAGCAAGACATAGACAATTTAATTTTAAATATAAATAATCGATGTCGATGTGTAATTAATGTACGTGATGGCAACACTAATTATTTATAATTAGATTTCATAAGATTTTTTTTCAATTTTAATTAATAATAATAGTTTTATAAGAAGAAAGTAGGTTTATTAATCATACTTATTTTCTACGGCGATTAAAAAAATAAACATTTTTATTTAAAACAATAAAAAATACGCTATGTTTTTATTTTTTATTATAGACTTTAAAATAACCTATCATTCTTCCATTTATATTCTTCGTAATATATTTTTAGATATTATATGAAATATAAAATATCCCTCTTTCTGTTGATGTGTTTATATACACAAAAATGTAAAAATATATCATATTCAAACTGTATACAAGGAATAGACGAAAGCCAGTAGCACCAGTCACTAAACTCCTCAGAATCAGTTATTCAATCTGGGGCAATGGGTACGCTTTTAGACAAAATCCCAGAAAATTTGACTTCCCCCGAGTTTAATATCTTTTTAAACAAAGATGGTATAAAAGGGTTTTTATAATATAAAGAATTTATGGATGATAACAATCTCTGGGAATGAGGTGATCGTTACTAAGCTATATGTCTCTAATTTGTTTTTTGTAGTTGATTGTGAACATAACATTAGATTTAAATTGTTTTTTTTCAAGATTTCTTTCTGGTACTTCCAAGGACAGGTACTTTCCGAACCATTGGTAAATTAAACATAATGACTTTCAATAGGTATTATTTATAATCTATATTATAAATAATACCTATTGAAAAATGGAGATAGAATTTCTATCTCTATTTTACGCGTGCTCTTGTATGCACATCAGTTAATTCATAAGGCACCCATTTCTCTAGTTTTTTTATTTTATCAGGTTGTTGCAAACATTTACCCACAAGGTTGTTAAACTTAAGTCAAACCATGATTCTAACTCTTTGGTTGTTGGATAAGAATTTGCTCCCAACATTACTTTTAGTTCATCGTTATTTACCTTGACGTATGCCTTTCTTCGTGGTTCATTCTTCAAAGTAGAAGTTTGTAAGGGAATACAAAAGCGTTTTAACCAAAAACGCAGAGTGCTTTCAGTAGTTATATTCTTTCAGTGTTGGCTGTCTGGCGTTATAACCACCTCAGAACTTGTTGCTCTGACCGACTTCATTACGTAACCCCTATCTACTAACTATATGTCATTATATATTTATACACGCCTATTGTTCCAACTAAAATAATAATTTATTGGCGTTTAGTACTAGCAAACATGTTAGTGTTCAGCTCTTAACGCCAATTATGATTTCATCACTGAGTGCGATTAGAAGTTAAATTCGTAGGGGAGTTAAAACACGACTTTTACTTGTTACTGACTTCATATCATAAATAATTTCTTGTAGTACTTGGATCTTAGCATTTGAAAACACTGCCCAATGGTTTTAAGACATTGTTTTTTTTTTGGTATTTAGTAAAATCCAAAAAAGCATTTTTTAAATAGTTTGATATTAGTTGAGAGACAATGTATTATGTAACGGCTTTTTACTGTGATTAGCTCTTGTTACGTTGGATTGATTTGATCAATTAGTCAATTTAGTCCATTAAAATTATCCGAGATGATTGACTCGAAACACAGCTAACTTCTTTTCGTTGTCATTTACAATTGAATCAATTATTAACTACTGTATACTATTATAACAAACAGGACTAGTTATAAAAGAATAATAATCAGAGAGAAATGATGAAATAAAAATAAATATTAGCCGTAATCTCACGACGCCGGTTTGACGTAAACGAGAGTAATATCGCCATTTATCGGAAGCCATAGGATTTCTTTTGCGTTTCTTACAGTTGCCTATTACGAAACTTACGGGTGATATGTGGTAATGGGTCGCCTTTGAGCTCTTGGTGCATATCTACGAAAGTAAATTTTTCTCTTGGTATGGTTACAATTAGATATTAGGCCGTATAAGGAAGCTCACGGTCGCTTAGCGAGCTACGGCGAGGGCTATGCATAGGGTTTCTCTGCGTGATAAACTTAGAAATAAAAAAATAAAATATCCGCAGTAGAATCAAGAAAAAGTTAAGTAAAAACGGTTAAGTAATTAAGTAAAATAATAAATAACGGTTAAGTATAATAGCCGCGACTTCAGCTAGTCGCGACTATTTAGTTCGAAGAACCGTCAACCGATGCGGGGCCGGCAGCCCCGTACCGGTAGGCGAAGAGTAGAGGGGCTACTAGATGGAGTGACGACCTGGTAGGAAAAGCAAGAAAACGATGAGTGCTGGTGGCTCAGGACCGCGCTTGGTAGCATTCCTTGGAGTAGGTCTGTCCAGTAGTGAACTCGTGAAGGGCTGTAATGATTATGATGATGGTTATATCGCGAGAAATCAAAATATAATGGGAAAACTAAAGACAAAAGTCTATTGTGTAGGACGAAGAACGATACGAATGTTGAGGAGATATGGGATCTGAAGGACCGGTACAAGTTGGAGCACGGTGGTGCAGAGTTCATTATTCCCAGAAGTGTAGAAGATGACTTCGGTAACTACACGTGCGGCCTCAGTGGCACCGAAGCTGTTCAGCGTTGGGCAGTTCGCGGTCGCGCCTTCACCAAGCTGCCGGCCAACACTAACGTCGTGGAGGGTCAGAAGCTCAAGCTGCAGTGCAAGGTGTGTTTCTTTAAAGAGGATAACATCAGAGGATCGTAAACACGTGCATAAGGCCTTTGTTACGTTTGTACTAGAAGATGCATGTAAAGGTGTAGCGTATGTCAAAATTATCAAAATAATCAAATATTAATATTAATATTTTACTGTAAAGGTGGGGGAATACCGCGTGGGGAGAGTTCCTGGCTGTTATGCCGCCACAGCTGGGCTAAGTTCAAGTTTAGCTGAACTCCAAATTTGTGCAAAAATCCAACTTGTTGGCTTTTGGGCCTGGTTTTGCTGTCTCTCTAAAGTTAGTAAGAATTACCTCGCACAAATCCTTGAGCGGATTGTTGTTTTAACTTGAGTTTGAAGAGCACCTCCCGCCCTCCCTTAATTGCGTGTTCTAATCCCGTCACCACTGATCCCAGCACCACTACTCCCAATAATCTCCCAATACCACTACACTAGAAAAGACACACCATCGACGATAATACGACGACACGTGTTTCGCCTCTACACGAGGCATCCTCAGATAATGTAGACTCGACGGTGGCTGACCGTAGCGGTGTTGGGAGTAGTGTTGCTGGGATAAGGGCCGATTCTCATTATAGTACCGTTCACAGTTCGTTATCGGTCCGATCACGGTCTGATAAAATATTGTCAAGTAAAAAATATGTAAATATGTGGAGCCGTGGTTGCTCAAATGGTTAACGCTCGCTGTAAATATAACAGAACGCGAGTAACACGGGTTCGATCCCCGTCGGCACCAATGAAATTGTAAATTGCAATTTTAAGTGCTGATTTACTACGTGCTCGGCGGTGTAGGAAAACATCGTGAGGAAACCTGCATGTCTGAAGAATAAGAAATAAATAAAAAGTATTTCGAAGACATGTGAAGTTCGCCAACACGCATTGGGGCAGCGCGGCGGACACTTCCTTGCCCTAAAACCCTCTCAGAAATGAGAGGATGCCTGTGCCCAGCAGTGGGACGTAACTTTACTTTTACTTTTAAAAAATATGTGTGTGCATTCGTACTATCCGTAACAGTCAAGTTTCGGTCGAATCCCATTCCATTATAATAAATCAGACCGAGAATGAACTGTGAACGGTAAATGAGGATCGTACCTTAGGTAAGACGGGATTAGTGCACGCAATTGATGGAAGGCGGGAGGTGCTATTCAAACTAGGTAAGACATTTATTTTATTGAGCGGATTTGTGCTAGGTGATTGCTAGCAAGTTTAGTACGAAGCAATGTATAGGGAAGGGCTATGTTCAGCGGCAGACTTGGTGGTATCAGTAACGGCGTGGTGCGGCGCAGGTTATAGGCAAGCCGTACCCGCGCGTGCTGTGGACGTACAGCAACGCGTCTGAGGGCGAGAACGCGAGCGACGTGCGCCAGGCGCTGGGCGAGCGCGTGACGCTGCGGCGCAGCGCGCAGGGCGTGGAGGACGGCGAGCTGCTGCTGGACGCCGCGCTGCGCTCGGACGCCGGCCTCTACTCCTGCACTGCGCCCGTGGGGCCCGCCGGCGCCGCCAACGTAGCCACCACCACGCTGCGCGTCAAGGACATGTACGCGGCGCTGTGGCCCTTCCTCGGCATCTGCGCCGAGGTGTTCATCCTGTGCGCCATCATCCTGGTGTACGAGAAGCGCCGCACCAAGCCCGACCTCGACGACTCCGACACCGACAACCACGACCAGTGAGTCGTCGCTCGCCGACCGGCGACTTCCTACTTCAGTTCACTTTACGCCCCTTAGTTTATGTATAATTTTTCTTTAATTTACCACGTTTTTAAAACTAAGTATAAAATTCTTTTTTTTTTCATATTCTTACGTTGTGATTGGATTCTGAACTATATTCAAAATTTAAATGAGTATATAGTATCTCTAATGAGTATACTCAAACGCTACTCAATTATAACATCTCGCTAAATCTCATGGTGTCAGTCAAAGACGGCACGAGACTGCGATTTCAACACCCATTGAAAAGTTGGAAAAATCAATTTCTCCTTTCTCTTTCTATCTTTAATCAACTAAATTAAGACGGCTCCTTGACGCAATGACTTAACAATGAGTTGCGGAACTGAAGACCGCACGTTCCAATCCCGCACGAAACTAAGTTTTTGTATGACCTTCAAGTAATTTATGCTTGTAAACTGCCGCCACGATACGTGAGAATATCCTAGTGTGGGAGTAAACTTTTTTTTAAAGAAAAAAGATTACTACATTTGACCCGAACACACACACACGAAAACCAGTTTATTAAAACGCGGTAACAACGGAATCCCTTATTCCCTATGCAGTGTTCATGATTTGCAGAAGTTTTATAACTCACCTCAATAAACACATGGCAACGAATTGTTATTTTTATTTATTTATTATTACAGATAATAAATGAATTATTTTTAAATAACATTACGATTAACTCATCGATTTTGATACTTGAGTACTGAGCACGTCCCGATTAAATTGTGCATTATAGAAACTAGAATTTATTTTCTAGGAATACCAGATAAATATAAAATCAAATTGATTTGCAGTAAAGTACATTGAACGAATTTTTTCTGTCCTTTACCTTGTAAATCCATTCATCCAATACTATTACAAATATGTAATCGAAATCTTATCGTTTATGTCCATGTTCCTTTCCTTAGATAGCCTTGATTCGCTTTAAATCTTTATATTTATCGACATTTTGTAAATCATTATTTACTATGATTTTTTCTGATACCAACATGTTATCCCATCAAGATCGCTTGCCTTTAGTAACAATAAATCCTTTGCTGTCGATCATGTAATCAATCCATAATTTATTATCGATACAATAAAAAGAATTAAAATCTATGTCCGTAAAAGTAGGTAATAATTTAAGTAAACATTACTTCATACACCTGAGGTGCGGCGTGTCCTCGCTCATACAGTGCCTCATAAAAGCACACTCAGGTTTGTCGCTGATTATGTTCGTATTGCTGATTAAGAACGCTGTTGACGCCCCCGCGCCTTGTGCACCGGTGACGTAATTAAATAAGAGTGGAAAATTTGTCTACGTGGGCGTCAACGAACATACGAGTACCTGATGCACTGCAGTAACGTGGAGAGCCCCAGCAAAAACACGAAAGTTATAGTTAACGCTTATTTATTACATTAACAAAACCTGAATTAAAACAAATTCTTATCGCTTTACAGGAAGAAGTCGTAAGCGCATTGAAGCCACGCTGGATTGGTGTCTTTAGTCTGCGCCATTTTCAATATTTTTATTTTCGGACACATTAACCAAAAAGTTATTTGTTATTTAATTAGGATTTACTATTCTGTGATGACCTTCAGACCGGTGGTCTCGTACAGTCGGTTGTGGGAATGTTTCTCACATCGGATAGCATCTCGTTGTGATAACCGAAATCAATATAATATTGTTATATTTTATTTTGTACTTATGGAATTTTTTATTCTTGATTTGTATTTTGTTAGAAGCTTTAAGACCGTAGTGAAGTTAGTCCGTGACAAGTGACGAGTTCACATTAACGTGGCAGCGGCGCGTCGTTGCCACGCCGTGTTCATGTTGCTAAATACTAATACAGAAACTAAATAAATTATTATATACGTTTAAATTGTGTTTTATTTACGACATAATCTTTAGAATAATAACTCACTTATTTGTTGTTTTGGCTAGGTATATGTTACGCCGCAAAATTAATTAAGAAAATTAGTCTTGGTTTCCAGCATTATCAGTCATTAAGTTCTGGGAAATGCACTTGGGCGTTTTATAATAATCGAAAAGCGTGAAATAGCAGCATAATGCTGCTATAATTCATATGAAGAGTGTATATAGTCTTTTAACTCTTAAGAAGGTATTTAATAATACTTGACTTATTGAAGTGATGGCGTTTTAAAAATGCTTCGTAGAGGCTAATTTTGAATAAAAATATATTTTGACGTGAGTCGTGTGTTTGTTCTCTCTCTCATAAAGAATATTACTTGTGTAAATAGTATGGAAATAGATTTTTTTTCAACGTAGTATAATATTATGTACGAATAATACTAAGGTGACGGCAGGACTCCGCAGACAGCCTGATGGCAAAAACATCCAAAGATTCCAATTCCAAATGTCAACCCAGTGATCCTCAGCGAGGTTTGTGCGATGTGCAGCTCTTATAGCTAATGCATGCCAGCTGGTGTCTCGTTAGAAAGACCTATGTTCGGCAGTGGATTTAATGAACCAAAAGAACATGCTATACTTACCTACGAAAATATATTAGTGTTTATTTTAACTAACACAGTTATTATCGAGTTTTGTTAATCCTATAAGAGTACAGTATCATACAGACAATGGAAATAAGTTTCGTTAGCGAATGGTGTTTATGTAAATAGAACATAGTGATAAAAACATTAATATCTTGAGTAATATTTGCTCCAGTATCTTGTGAGATTGTGATAATGTTATCACTATGCGACATATTTTTATCAACCGCAGAAACGATTAAGCTATTACGATAATAATGCGTGTATTTGACAACTGTATCAAATTGTTTACTTGCGTGTTTAACGTTATAGAAAACGCGTGAACAACGCTACACGTTCGTATGCTATGAGGAAGGAAGTTGAAACTTAAAGATCTTCCGCCTTCAGTTACTGCTAACTATTTACTTATTTATTCAACAACCTTTATTGTAAAAGATATTAAAAGGCCTAAGCCTTACCACTACTATTGACTGCGGAAATGTGATATCGGATAATTTGGAAACTGGGGCTGGTTGTAAATGAAACAAATATTCCAGAACTCAGGGGCCTTGCCTTTGGCACTGTCTAACGACTAGATGTTAAATATCTATGGAAAGTGGTAGGGGACTTACGTACGTTATTTTTTAAAGGTTACATACAAATACAATAGGTTTAGCAATAAAAGTATCTACTAAAATTAAAATATTCAGAAGTTTTGCGAAACTGAAAAAGTTCCATGGTTCATCCAAGTTTTTATCAAGAACTCTTTGACATCAAGTCTCCGACCTACAGAAAGCTTCCGATCTGCCCCAGACGTCTGTCGAGCGGTCTTTTCGAACGCTGCTGGCGCAGCTTCCGGCGATCAAAACTGTATCCATTTCAACAGACGTTTTATTAGAAAGAATAAAAAGAAGTCACATGGTCAAGTCAGTGCTGTGTGAAAGATAACCCAAAAGCTGTGTGCAGTTCAGGGACATTTTGACCGCTGAGTGTGTATTTTAGATGGAGCAGTAGTTTCCCGACCCGAACTCGCCTGCGATTTCTGATAAATCTCTTCAGTTACATTTTTCACTGCTAGCACGATTCCTTCCGTTACAGCTGTCAAGGGACGACCACTTATTTCTTCATTTTTTATAGCATTGGGTGAGAAACGAGCACACAGTCCACCTGATTTTAAGTGGATGCTGTGGCCCAGATACGTCCACATTTATCCCCAATTAAGAATCACACTGCGCATACTTTGTAACACCTGAGGATTGAGATGAAATGCCTCGTTTCCGTAAAAAGGTCTCCAGTTCTCTAAACTCCTCATACGAAACACATCAGCATTACACTGGTATTCTGTGAGAGCGTGGTACTGGCCCGCTCGAGCCGACCCATTCGTGCTACAACTATATATAGCTGCAGCGTGGCTCTACCACGTATGTACGCGCAATTGATAGATATTTCCCAGGCGAAGCCAGGGCAGGTGGCTAGTATGTTAGTTTACATCTTGAAAGATTCTCAGGTTCCGGTTGGCGACTACATTTGCAGCAGGAAATGGTCGGCCCAAACGCACAGGACCTTACTCTCACAGAATACCAGCGTTAAATAGAAGCTCAATGCTGCTGTCTTTCTTATGGCGAGTTTAGAGAACCGTAGATCCTTTTTACCGAAAACGAGGAATTCCATCTTGGTTCTCAGGGGTGACAACGCATCTGCATTTTGATACGTAATCGAGAGAAATTCTGTAATAGTTACATTGTATGTTTCCTCTGACGATATTACTGTGACTGTTGGTCGATGATAACGGAAGTTGTATGTAACAAAAGTATTTGACATAACATTATCAAGGTGTCTTATAAATACAGCATCTATTGTTGTTCCATATCTGGTGCTGTGGTATTTTTGGATAGTGAAATCCATTATAAAAAATTAGGATTGTAATTTTTTCGTAATGCTGATTTAGATGTGGAGCTGAGTGCATCCACATTATGCCCATTGGTTATTGTGTTAACCTATACATCCAGATGCAGATGGTTTCTTCCAATCTTTTTCAAACCAAATTCGATCGCAAATTAAACAAGCATGTCCAAATTCATTATTTTTAAAGTTGTCGTTAAAATACTCATGAACTGACCTATGATATCTAAATTGACTGTAATTATTCGAAATTTCTGTTCCATTTACGCTTAATTGATGTCTTAAATTTCGGTGAGATACTTAACCCATTACATACTGCGTTTCTTCAGAGCCAGCTACACTTTTAAAAAGTTTTTTTCGTTAAGTAATTGTATTGTCATATTCAACGACTACACAGCTCAAATTGTGTAGTCGATGGTCATATTACATTGTCCTGTCACTGATGAATGTCACTTCGAAGCGCCCACTAGCTTTTGCTATCTTAATTTAACAGGCGCTTTGACCGTATATGCTCATTGTTTAAAAGGTTTAACTAAACATTTGAGCTTTTTCTGTTTTTAAAAATAGGTTTCAATCAAAGCTTTATTTTTAAACTTCAAAACTGTGACAGAATAAAAATAATTATACATTAGATAAATAAAATTTATTGAAAACATAGTTGAGTTCATTGATTTATATATTACACTAGATTACTAATTACCGCGCCAAAGCGTTAGTTTAGTCATTGCACATATAGCCATAGCCATATATATGTATACCTAGCTAGCGTCAGTTCAGTGTGTCGTCAATAACACCGACAGAGTTGAGCCTCGATAAATATGGGTAAATACGTAGTGAAAGAATGCGATTCGAGGTCACAAAAACATAATAAATCAAGCGGAATCGCTTTCAACACATAATTTTTAGTTCTTGTTTTCATATAAACGTAAAAACATCAAAAAATAAAATTATCAAATATTGCGAACTAGGTTCAATGTTGCCACTCTTCCGCCTTGTTGATTATCCCACCTTAATAGACTATATACTTAATTTATAATAAAAACTACGCTTTAATTTTCATACAAAATAATTAATTATTCTTATTTAAGTTTATTCAAGATTGATCTATCAAATATATTTTATTATCTATTTTATATTAATAATTTTATACTAATTATAATTTTATCCGCCGCTGGGGTCGGGAACGTCGGGTACTTCTAAGTGCTCGTTTTTCCTGGCCCCATGGCCTTCGTGCCAATATGCGACGAAGGTGGAACACCATGGGGTTTTAGTCGGTGCGAGTCCGACATAACCCGTTCCTGCCCCCGCGAGGCGGGTATGCATAGGCATTTCCCCATGTAAAAAAAAAGGTTAGATTAGGTTCCCGTGTGGAGTTGCCAGTCCTCCTATCGGGCGCGTCCCCAGGTGGCGGATAGGGGAATGCCACTCAGATATGAGTGCTAGCGGGAAACCGTCGCGGACCAAAACTGGCTGGGTTTGGGCGTACCTCTGGTTCCGAATAGAATCAAGTACCTGCTAGTTGCTTTCCGTATCCTCTCCACTGAGAGGAACAGAGGATGTGACATGCGCGGTGAGATGCCAGGTGCACTCGGCTTTTGCCGACGCCGGGCAACCCGTCATCGCGGGAATTGAATGGGCTCAGAGTTCCCTCACCCGGTCTCTGGGCTGGCGTGGGAAGAACCCGTATCGACTCTGCCACCGTTCGAACCTCGGAATCCATTTGGCGTGACGTGGATCATGTCTCGCGGCGCCTGAGGGGCCGATGGCTCTTGGCTTAACCGCCTGGAGTCACGAGGATGATAACCTCTATAAAAAATCACCCGAAGCTCAAGCGTGGCACGCCGTGAGGAGCTGCATGGCTGATGGGTAAATGTTCAGTCGTTAGCGTTGCCCCCCGTCAGGGTACCGGTCGACACCCTTGACGGGTTATGCATAGGCTTATTCGGGCAAAGGGGGCTCTGCTCGGATGGACCGTTACTTCCTCCACACTCGTGGGAAAAAAATGGACAAACGTTTGAAAAATGTAGATAAAGAAAAACAGGATGGATCAGACGTGGACAGATCGCGTGGGACGTCTTC